TGTGCCCAAGGGCCCTTCTACCTCTATTTAAATAAAACAAGCTCTACCTTTTTAAAATTTGTAGTTCTAGCCTTTGACACAAATACGTAAAAGTACAGGATACTCTAAAAAACGGCTCTAAATCCATTTAAATTTTCCCAAATCTCTATAGCTCACAGTACATTTTTTTTTTTTGAAATCCCACACTTGGTAATATCGTATTACAGATATAGGTCGTAAGCAAATATGTTTGACGTTGGCCAGTTACATGTCTCTCATACCTCGCGATAGTCCTTTGCTCAATCCGCGATAGCTTACCTTAATGTCTAAAATTAATGCCCCAACAAGTGTTTTTCTAAAGCGATTTTCAGCGTGCTCGTATTCTTTAACAAAATAAAATGCCGATACAATTCGGTTGATAAAAGTTTGTAAAGAAATAGTTTAATCAATCTTCCTAGGCATATGTTGCGCGAAATATAAAGCTCCTGCATGCTCAAAGAAGAAACCAAGTCAGTTTTATATTAAGGCAAGATGTGTAGATGACCATCCAACTACGAAAAGCTTGGTAATGCCAAGAGGATATATCGCATGAAATAATCTGTAATCATCAACAGTCACTGCTCATTTTAAATGCATTTTCACTCAAAATATTCCAGTTTAAGTGAAGATCTAGTTAAGTGAAAGCATATAAACATTCACCCACATAAAATTAAAGAGATTTGCTCACTTATGCTTGAAATCTCAGGTCTAATGGCTTTACGCAATGGGCTACATAAAAACACATTACGTATACGACATAGTGTCTGCTAATGGAGCGCCACGCACAGGCTTGCGTCATGTAATAGTTAGTATCAGCAGTAGGTCGGAAATTAGATAGTATATAAGTACCTAATGAATACTGCAAAGTCTATGCTAGCTCGAGAGGGATTCTGTCTGCAGACATCGGCACGCACAACAAAACATCTGTACACATGCATGCTTTTAGTGAATACTCGCACACCCATGCTCACAAATTCGCTCAATTTGAATAGGTTATTCACTCGATATTGCACTATTGTTTTAATATATTTGCATATAATGTCGGAAAACAACACTCAAGATAAACCCCTTTTCGATTAATGACCTACCATACTACACACCCGGCCACTTCCGGTTACACAACTCGTAATTCGAGATAGCAGAGCTTTCAGATTCCAAGCGCATTAATTCATGTATTTACTAATGCCACAATAGTAGAGGAAAATTAAAGCTGAGCTAAAAAAAAAAAACTTAGCCACCTTCGCCATCATCACTTTCGTTTATTTTGTGGCTGGCTGTCTAATTCTCGGCTGAGTCGGTGCGACTTGGCAACTTTAAGCGCTTACTCGTAAAATTCTATGCTCTTCGTCACTTTAAGTGCTCCCACTGCTCGCCGCTGTCTGTGTCTGTGCGTGCTTGAGTGTTGCTTTCATTCTTGTTGGCATTTTTTTTTATTTTTTGGTATTTCCTTTTTTGTAGGTTAACTGACTTTTGTTAGCTCATTATGACCGCAGCTAAAGAAAGATATTTATGTAACACACAAGCGGTTGGTTGACTTTTTCATTGCTAACAAGGCTATCGACTCACGTTTTGCCTTCTTCATATGTATGCATATGTATGTATATTTGGCAACAGCGTGTGTCGATGCTTTTTCTATGTTTCCTGTTGTGGTTTCCATTGTGGTTGGTGTGGCTAGTATTTAGCGTAGCATTTCGTGTATTTCTACACGACTAACGCTGTTCTACTTTCGTTGTTGCCTCACTGCTGGTGGTGGCGGTAATTTTCACCGCTTGTTTCCAAACCAAATACACTGAAACGTAAACTCCATTTGTGCGGTTGTTTTTATTGCATTTAGTGGTCAGATCGTTTTTGCGGTGGCGTAAAATAGTTTGCGTTTTCTTTTGTGATTTTCCTTGTTCAGGTTGATTTGTATTGCCGTTGGTGCTTTTGTGTGTAATTTTCTCCCTCCGCCTCTCCTCACTGCGCTAAACAAAATGCTTAACATAAAATCCTATTTTTGTTTGGTTCATAAAAACGACGCACCGGTGTGGTTCAGTGCGTGTTTTTGGTGTACATAGTTGACGCAGTAATTCGATATCTGACATTCTTCATGAACCGGAATTTGAATGCCAACGCAGCACGTCCACAAAATTTGGTTTTATTTGTTTGTCCCTGGTACTTAGTTTTACTGTGATTTGTTCAACTTCTGACCATAGCTCTTAAATTTTATGGCACTTTCGTTCGACGTATACTTTAGAGATTTGGTTTCAATTATTTTTTTCTTGTTACTGTGGTATCGGTTTCGTTGATGTGGAAAGGTCATTTAGTAAATATGTATATATGTTATTGGCTGGACGCGCTACACTTTTTGGGCATTTAAATTTCGGGTTTTGTGGTCGTGGTTTGCCTTCACTTAAAAACTTCTTATGGCATAAAAAAAATCCTTTTTGGTGGAAACATTAATACTCAGTGGCTTATAAAGATCTCTTGAACATTTATCTTCTTGGTTGTTTGTCGTTTCCGTCTCCAAAAGCCCAAGCCGGTAATTGGCGGTGTTTTCGTCAATCTATTGCACTCCCAAGTCATAAGCGATTCGCGAGGACAAGTGTTTGGGGCCAATTTTTGCTTGCTTAAGAAGGATTACAAAAATTTAAGGAGCAACCAAACATTATGTCATCAAGCGACCGATGGCGCAAACAATTAAACGAGTACATATGTAAATCAGCCAAAGGCTTTCATTTCTATATAGCTGCTTTAAAATTCGTTTTCTAGTCCCTTCTGTGATCCATTTTATAATCGTAAGGACGCGCTTGCCGTAGAATCCTTTCTTCTTTTAAAACCTTCTCATATTTATTCCTTCAAGATAGACTTTTCGAGTTTAATTTAATAATTAAATTCAGCAAATCTGAAAAAATGTTAAAAAAAAATTTCAAAAGGTCCCATAAAAGTTTCGAACAGCTTCCGAAAAGTCTCGAACATATCTGAAAAATCTAGAAACTACCCAAAAGATCCCAAAAAAAATATTAAAGTATTTCGAAAAATTTCAAAAGAATCAGAAATGCTCTCGAAAATTCTTAAGAAAAATTCCGAAAAATCATAAATAAGTTCTGTAAATTCTCATTTTGATTAAGAGGAGATATGCAAAAAAACTTTCGTTGGAAAAAATAAAAACAAAGCAAATAAACATCACATCTAAATTATTATTCGAACCCCGCGTATGGTACATAAAGTAAAACCTGCAACTACCATAAACAAAGGAACACAGAACCAAACTATAAAAACCAAGCAGAAGAAGGTAACAGTTTTTACCTACCGAACTAGTAATAAAAAATTCCCAAAAGATCTCGGAGAAATATTGAAATATCATAAAAATCCGAAAAGTCACGAAAGGTCCGCCAAAGTCTGGAAAAGTTCCGTTATAATTTCAAAAGTTCAAAAAACTTGATACGAGAATCGTAAGAAAGGTCCAATATTAATTTCACATCGCAATAACATTTAGTTTCGCCTTGCAAAACCTACTATGGATACCAGATCAATTTCGCTTAAGTAGAGATTGTAAGTGCAAGAAAAATAATGGTTTTCTATCTCATGGTCGAAGACAAGTTTTGTAGTGACTTTTCTCTTAGTTACTAAAAGTATACTATAGCCAACCTTTACGAAATTGAGTGAGTATCGACAGAATTTGTCGGACATCTGGATCTAAGGAAACACAATATTTATCAGTACTTTTTGGTCAAAAGCTACAAGTCAAAATATTTCAAGTCTTGTTCTAAGTACCAAAAGATAAAAAATCCTAATAAATCTACGAATAAATAGTGCATATCTCGTTATAGAATTCAAGACCTAAAATTTCAATTTTTCTGGCGTTCTCTGACTTTAAAGCTTATACATGGGTATGCACGTATGCTTTAAATTACACTTGATTTCGTTTGGCATCAATAATAAGTATCATTATTGTGTTTAAATTTATTTGCATAAAGTATATTATATGTTGTAAATCTGGCAAACTATGAAAGTTATGCAAATTAATTTTAAAATATTTGAATTAACTTGAAAATATGCTCAAATACATATATGTATGTGTTAAAAACTAATTTGAAGCAAAACACCTCAAGTGTTCATAATTTCATCTAAACTTAAACAAGTACAATATTGCTTTCGCTAGTTAATGTATGCATCTAGAACAACTTAAGAATGTAATTAAAAAGCACACCGTAAATGGCACTACAAGTTGCAAAATTTTGCAAGAAATGCAGCGGAAATAACCAACCTACAACCTCAATAAAGTGCATACACTTGCTCGCATAGTTACGTCATAAATATGTATGTATGCAATGGCACATGAAACGCACCTGCAGTGTAGAGCACAAGAAAGGAAGCTGAGAGGCGTATACGCAACATTGTGGCTAACAATGGCTTTGTCTACAATGAAGCATATGTACTACATATGTATGTATGTATGTGTTATAATGCACAACAACATATACATATTTACACAGAGTAGATATTGTTTAACTTCAACTAAAAGTTCAAAAGTGCCTGAGAGGATCGCTACGAAAACTTGGAGTGCGCTCAAAAGGCAAAAACAATTAAATATTCTCTAACGAATAACTCCAGCCATTTTTGCGGTAGCGTCATGGTTTGATTATATTTTCTTGCTGACTACATATATATATATAAATATGTGGTATGTAAATACATAAACATGCTACATATAAGCATAATTACATCTACATTTATAATAAGTAAACACAAAAATAATTGTCTACAAAATAACTGCTACATAGCGATGCATATATATATACACATGTATATATGTTTTTGTATGTCTTATAAATTTATAATGGAATAGCTAACTATTGTAAAACATTCTCATACGCGTATCAAGCTCATTAAAATTTTATTTAAAAAAAACTTTGTATTCTTTCCTTGCTTTATGTCCAACAAAATGTTGTTCTGCTGTTTGCCACACATGGCCCACATGCCCCACATGCTCTACATAGGAAATGCGCATAAGGAATGCGGCAGAGATGGTGAATGGTACAAACATCCGGTGTGGAATTATTCTTGGACTAATTACACGAGCTGTGTTAATATAGACGATTTAGAGGTAAGTTGGTAGTGATTCTAGAATTATGTACATTAAGTGCAAAACTAATGTGATTTAACTATTGAATTTATATGCAAATGCAAATTAAGACTTGAACTGAAAATACGATTTGGTATTTTATATCGAAATAAATTTATTCGCTTTATGCAAAAACGACCATAGTGCATGTAAAATAATATATGCAGATTAGTAATTTTGTATATTGGAGTAACCTCGCAGAAGAATGTTATAAAATATCAAGCGATCAGGATTGAGTAAGTCTGCATTTCACTCATAATTTTTGATAGTTGCTTCTGTTGGTTGAATTCTCATAAGTGTGCACATGTATTGGTTATGTGAAGCTCGTCTTCATGCCTGATATATTTAATTATTGTATACTCTTTTTAGATTATTTGTCATTTAGCACTGCAAAATATTATCCTTTTTCTACTTTTAGTGGAAGCACAGCATAAATATTTTCTACGAAACCGGTTATGGCATATCGCTGGTGGCAATTTTACTTTCTCTCGCTATATTGAGCTACTTTAAGTAAGTACATTTTTAACTAAATATGTAGATAATAATAAATATATGAAAAACTAAAAAAAAATCAAAAAAAAAAGTAAATACTTTAAATATCATAAAATATATAATAACGCCATTTAGTAGTATAAAGTGGCGAAAATATAAGTTTTGTCTATTTGGCATTTTGTGATGTTTAGTATTTTTTATGGTAAAGTAGATCGTTATGTAAGAAAAATCATGTAAGTCCGACTATCAAACAGTGTTCTGAAATTAGGGAAATTCGACAAGGTTCGATTTCTTAGACAAAAGTTGAGTAGCTATTCATTTTCGTAGTCCATTCAACATTAGTACAATACCGTGCACGTTTGAAGTAGGATCAACTACCGTTGTTTTTAAAAAAGTTTTTTTGGTGTTTCTCATTTTATCCATTTAAAAAAAAAAATTAAAAATTGTGGCATAGACTTATGAAAAAAATGCCAAATACCGTCAACAAAATAAACTGCCAAAAATTAAAGGATAATTGTAGCCACTTTAAACCGTATTTTTGTTATACTAGAATTTATTAGTCTATAAAATTGCATACCGACATTTTTTCTAAATATTCTAATTATAAGTTTTAAAAATTTGATTTTGTTGGAACTTGTCGAATTTTGCTAATTATCATAGACAATGAAATTTAATTTGTCATTCTTAAACACTAAAATCTTTTCTATCAAATGCAGGAATTAAAATGTGGTATATGTCACAACCCGTGGTTAACTGATTGAATATAGTATTAATAACTATACAGTTTATTTGAACTTCCACAAGCAGGAAATTTAATAAATACTTCATGCTAACAAATGTTGCCAATTAGGAATATTTTAACTTTGTTTAGGAGGGTGTTTTTCTACTGCGCACTCCCAGCTGGGAAGAGGTAATCCGGTGGAGCAACTCTCCAGCTCTACTAAACAAAGCACTAAGTAACTCGGATGCTGGATAAAATACTAGTCAAAAAAATCCCTTATCGTCATTGAAGTGATATGAAAAGCATTACTATTAGCTGGCTATGATATTTGGAGTATCTTTTATAAGCTAATTGCCCTAAAATTTTACAAAGGCCCATCGAAGAAATCATAACTGAATGCAAATATTCTGTGAACGTCTTACTTTTTAATCATTCAAAAATTTTTCACTGTCGGCAATGGCTTTTATCTAAGGGATTTTTTTTCTTTAAAGACAAATGCATCTGAAACCCGTACTCAAACATTAACCCGTTGCCAATAAATTATCTACTCTTCGCGTTCATTGCAGGTCGCTAAAATGTGCGCGCATAACACTCCACATGAATTTATTTACATCGTTTGCAGCGAACAACTCACTCTGGCTGATTTGGTATTTGGTGGTGGTGCCCGATACGGAGCTGCTGCAAAAAAGTCCGGTAAGTGGCAGACAGTTCACATACAAATATAAGCGTGTGTGCCTGTGGCAGAGCAGAACTTTCTTTTACATTCAACAACTGCAACGTGCAAATCCATTTACCCAGTGCATAAGGCTGGAAGAAGAATTTGCATACTATAATTGCATGCAGGCAATAAATATGTATGCACAATAATCGTAAATGTTACGTATACGCACGCCATGTGCGTGTGCCAAGATTTTCAGGCAATTCCGTTTCGCTTTGTCATATTTGTTTATTTTTTTTTTTTTAATTCCTGCAGCTGCATCAGGAAAATGTAATTTCAATAACAGTTCACATGCCAACTGATTCTCATCTATTTATTTTGGTTTTTTCCCGTGTTATATGTCTTTTTCCACTCTTCCAGCCCACATGTATTGCGCTACATATAATACTCCATTACTTCTTGCTCACAAACTATGCATGGATGCTTTGTGAAGGCTTCTACTTGCACACAGTGCTAGTGTCCGCATTCATTTCGGAGAAGAAGCTGGTGAAGTGGCTCATAGCTTTCGGCTGGGGTTCGCCGGCAATTGTCATTTTCATTTATGGCTTGGCGCGTGGTCTCGGCGGTACAGGCGATGAAATAACACAGTAAGTATGCTCTGTACAATGAATTTATTTACAAAAATAATTATATGTATTGAATATAGAAGAAAAGGGAGTTAAAGTAATTATTTTTCCACTTACACACGTATGTACATAGATATATAAATTTTTTGGTACAAATTTCAATAACTTTGCCTTTTCTACACCTTTCAGTTGCTGGATGAATTCGACGCCTTTCGACTATATATTCGTCGTACCTGTTTGCATTTCCATGTTCCTTAATTTGCTATTTCTATGCAATATTGTGCGCGTTGTGCTGCTGAAGTTGAAGGCACCAGCCAGCATACAAAATAGCTGTGGGCCTTCACGCACCGTCCTGCAAGCATTTCGGTAAGTTTTGTGCATTAAATCTGTAATGGTAATTTAAAGCTTTAAGGTAATTTTTTGTACTGCCATCATTGCTTGTGTAATCACTTCTGCATGCATTTATCAGTTTTAAAACAAGCACAACTACTAAAGCGATAAAAAATATTTTTCAGATATAGATGCAATTGATATGTACGATACAGTAAATTAAATTTTTATCGAATCTTCTTCGGTAACAAATCCATTGACGGTATACTCTAGAGTAGGGTAGCCAAATATCGTAGTGACAATCAGTAAAGTTGGGATCAAAAATTAAGACGAAGCCATAAAAATCATCTGCGCATTAATTTAACTAAAAATAACTAATGGTATTATCAGTATAACAATTCCATTAGTTGTACAGTTGTGTTGACAAAAATAGTAGTAAAATGTAGCTTTGAAAATTGTTTCTTTCCTTAATCCAAATTTTTTATAAAAATATAGTTGAGTCTATAACAAAAACCATGTAAATTGAAATCTCAAACCTTCTAGAAAATTTAAAAAAATGCAAAAACTAAAAAAAATTTTCATCAAAGTATCAACTTTTAGGCACAAATATGTATAAGATAAATAATTTTTCCAACACTTTTTACGCATGTCTTTATTCATTTCTTTATTAATCCACCAAATTCGTTTTTCACTTTTTTACAGCGCCACACTTTTGCTCGTACCACTTCTGGGACTACAGTATATTTTAACACCATTCCGACCGGAACCCAATCAGCCATGGGAGCATACTTACGAAGTTATTTCAGCATTTACCGCATCATTTCAGGTGAGTACTGCATTCGATTACCAGTTGGTTTTCTTAATGGAAACAACAAAGGAGTAGACAATAGCACTCCTAGAATTCAATCAGATTTCATGCCATCCTATGCAGGATTAAGTCAATCTTACTTAAATGAAGTGAACAAATGAAAAATCGTTTTCAGCAAGCTCCGCCATGTACAGGCACATACATGCATACATGCATACGTACATGGATGTATAAATACATATGTATAAATGTGTGTATTTACGTTTGCAAGCAATTTATGGTTTTATGTTGTCTTCACTTGATTTGCCTTGCAGCTCATGTGTCTCCTCTGTCTGTCGCCTGGTTCCAATTATCAGCAATTACTTAAAAGACACAACCAGAGCACTTGCAATACAATCACAGGCAAAAACATGTGTAATATTTGCTTTGCGTATGTACGAGCTTGGCTACCAAATAAGTCAGCAGCAATAGAAAGACTAAGCTGTCAATAGCAGAAATGGAATGCTTTTAATATTAAGTGCTGTGTACGCAGACAATTGCATTTGATTTGATTTGAAGCTCCTATGCAAGTAAAATTTAATCGACTGGCATGCGTTTATTTAAAGCAGACACCCTGCCACTCTGGCAGACATTTTGACAAGCAATGCATTTCCTATGCTGAATATTGCCCACACAAATAATTATGCATATTAATTTAATGCCAGTCTTGATTGCAAGATTAAAAAAATAGTACTTCAAAGTACATATTAAACGTTGCCTGCGGGCCGTATGAATTCCGTAAACTTTCCATTGAAAAGTAAGCTAACCAAATAATGGGTGGAGATATTAACTTCTATTTAACTAAAAATTAAAGTCGAGGGGGTACTAAACAATACAAATCAATTTTTTTATTAATTATTTTGGCTTTTATTTAGCATCACGTTCCGCTATAAAATAGGGTCGATTTTTCGTGACGCTTTTACTCAAATTAAAAATAAGAGCTGGCATAGTGCACCACTGCGTATAAGTAACAAAAACTATGGCAACTTCCAACTACCAATCACTTGACAGTGTACTCAACTGAGTTTCACGATTTGTCACTTTTTTCCTTCCTTTCTACTTACTAATACACACACATAAATAGACGTGTTGGCAAACAACTCGTTTACTTTCTTTTCCACTGTTTGTATACATTCAGTTTTGATTACTGTATTAAAATTGAGATGTTTACTTTTTGAACATGACTGCACATAGATACTCCTCCTTTAAGTGAATATCATGACAGTGAAATGTTGACAATGAACACACTTATTTCTTCAGTTATTAAAAATAAAATTCCAGCATTCGTAAGCTACTAGCGTAATTTAGTCTCCACAAAGTTTTTAAGGTGGTGATTTGAAGTCTTGTTGCTGCAATATCAGGCACCATTTGAGTAATTGTCAAAAACGGGCCGAAATTTTCTGCAGAAAAAATTGCCCGCTTCGCACAAACGGTAAGAAGGGGGTAACGAGAAGGCAAAACTTTCTACAGAAATTTTTTTTACGAAAATAAAACGCAATATCATCCGATGGACGCTGCAGCTGAGGGGTTACAGGTACGTAATACGATCCCTGATCCGTGCAAAATTTCAAACTAGGAAAAGTTTTTCTAACAACGGCAGCCCCTCGACAGGCAATGGCAACCCTCCGAGTGTGTTTATGCCTTGAAAAGCTTCTCCTAAAACAAAGCCTAAATTACTACTTTAATATTGCCTGCAATTTTTGTTTGTATGTAAAGCGCTGAAAAATTTTGAAAAAAATCACAGTGCTCGTTACTATAAAATTGAAGGATTTTGTAATTAAAAAAAAAATACTTAGCAACAGATTATCTTTGCATATTTTTATTCGGTGTTGACGATAGGGAAAAATTACTAAACCTAGTCGCGCGGGAAGCTGGAATAACCCCACCTCCACCGGAATGCAGTTGAAACACGTATTATGATACGATGAATTTTTCGAGGTAAATTTTGGTGGCTCTCCATCGCTAAATAATTTTTTTTTATCTAGAACTTTTAACAAAAAAAAATTTTAAAGAATACTACAAATAGATTTTGATCATAAGTAATATATACAGCAATTTTTTCAGATTTTTTTATCAAAAAAAAATGTATAGACCAAAACTTCTACTGCCGCGGCTTTGAAGTTTTCCATGAATTTTTAAAGGGAAAAAACATATTTTCTCAAAATTGCAATAAAACCGTTACAATAAACATTTTTTGATCAAAGAAGAATATTTTCTTTCAAATATCTTAAATTGATAGACATGATGCATTATTCGGTCGCCGCAGTTTCCTTTTTGCTAACTACTCCAAAATCCTTCGATAATAAAATAATTTTGAATAGAAACAGCTTAAAAATGCACCTTGCCGATAAAGAGAGATGACATTTCATGCAACTGACCCATCTTATTTCTGGCACTTGACTGCATCATACAAAATTTTGGAGGCAAATATTTTAAAACGAGCAGTGTGAAATCAGACAAATGTCTGATAAACCGGTTTTATTATATATTTGAACCAGTGAAAATGATTATCTTGGTATGAAGTCATGACCAGTACAATAATAATTATACAATAAAATTATTAACAGTAAATATAGCTAGAAAAGAGAAAAGCAAAATAGGTACAAAGTTTTTTATATCGGAAAAAATTATAATCAGTGAAAAATTCAGGCTTGGTATTTCTTTAATACTTTATTGCATTTTTTCTGATTTTTTTCGATTTTGAGTAGAGCTCTTGCAAAAAACTTCCAAATCCTAATAGTTTTATTCAATGAAAAAAAACGGTTTGTTATAGCGAAAAATCCGGTCGGTTTATTTGATATTCGAAAAATCAATAATTCAAAAAAATCGTCTTTAGATTTCCAAGAAAACTGGTTGGAAGCATTTTTTGAAAAACCAAGCCAATCACCCTAGTATTAACCTACCCGAAAAGTTTAATAAAATTCATCAATTTAACGAAGGTGCAAGATGTAAAGCTGTTTGATAAAATACCACGGTACTACGAGGGGAGGCTGAAAAGTTTTGAGCCTAAGTACCTTTAAGTGTCTTTAATGTCTTGTTCTCCTTATATCCTTAGTAGTATAAATACCGAATTTCATGTAGTTAACGTCATTAAGCTTTCACTTTCAATTGAGCCATAAATATCACCATGTGCGAGTCATTCGCGCATTGTACGAGCTGTTTCTAAAAAAATAAATTTGTATATTCATTTATTTCAGCTATTTTAATACCTTAGGCTCACACCTTTTCAGCCTCTTCTCGTACTAACAAAATTCTCATATTTAATTGTAATTCATATCTACTCTTTCCCACTCTTCAGCTTATGGTACAATTTAAAGGATTTTTTGTAGAGAATCCTAAATTTAATTATAATTAAAACACCTCTTTTATATCGTAGTGTTGCATGGTTTTCAAATGTTGATAATAACGAACTTTTTGTGCTTGACAAATATTTCAGAAACACTTGAAATTCATGGCCGACGACACCTTTTGAGACAGCGTTTATTGTCGCACACTTAATTTTTCTCTGCAGAAAAAATAAATTTCACTGATTTCATTTCCATTTCTGTTTTATGACCACTCTCTTGCGACCTTTCGTTGAATTGTGAGTTATAAAAAAAAAAAAAAATATGAGAAATATGAATAAACAGCAATTGTGCTTTTGATGCCTCGAAGCGAGCGATATGAAAAAAGTTATTAAATGTTTATGCAAAGAAAATAACAAAGCACAGCTGCACGAAAAAGGTCAATGAAAGGAAAACTTAAGAAAAGAAAACATCTTTTTCTTCGAAAATAAAGGTAAAAGCAATGAAAAGTGGTTTTGTTATTTCAGGGATCCGAACTTGTGGCTGTTTATAAACAGATTGAGTAAAATAATTATAATAAATAGTGTATCTACGCTGCTTTATTTGAGGATATGAAGAAAAATGAAAAGAAAAATAATCCAGCAAAGCGAGCAAGCTTGACCAGATATTCTAGCTTATACTTAAAGTTAAAAGCAAATTGAAGAAAACACATCACGTAATAATTCTAGTATTTCTTTGACAAAAAAAAAAAGTGAAAAATGAAGCAAAATGTGCACTGTCTCATGTTCAATGTGGCAAATAATTACGATAACAAGCATTCGCAACGACAGCACAAAGGATAGCCAACTTGGCTTGGATGCTTAAAGCAAGATAAATGATAGCAACTATAAAAGCGAGAACAATAATCGCAAGTATCTAGCTGTTTATATTTAAGTACTTATGTGCACTTGCTGCTGCTGGATGCTGCTACGATATGACAAAAAATAAAAGTGCACAAAAACAAAGCTAAAAGCGCACCGAGTGCAGAGTGTGCGTATGCAGTATATTTTAGCAGATACATACATTAGATAAAAATTTGTTTGTATGTGCATATATATAAATATACAGGCATGCATAGTCGCTACGTGTTTATTATATTTCCAGTACCTACATGCATTCATACACTCTAAAAAATTTTTGTTTAAATTTGCGCATATTAGGATAAGTAACCAGTTTCCTCATTTAATGAATGCAAATTTATACACCATGTCAATTAAACTAAACACCTCTTCTTTAGTTTTACTTATCATATGTGTGGCGTATAACAAATTTCAAATTTATTTTTTGAGCTCTAAACATTTATTGTTCACAATGGGTAGGTTCAGAAGGTGCAGAAGTTGAGTGCAACCGTTGCTAAAAAATTCAATGATCGTAATGCGTCTTCTGAACGGCTTGATACATTAGCTGTCAAATTCAAAACACACAACACGTTGTCTCAAATGATCAGAAAAATATTACGATCTTCTAACACGCAACTGTTCAGTTGATCAGAAGTACAAAACAACGCGTTCAGAAGGTGCAATCGCAACAGTTACTGAGCTGTTGCGCCTTCTGAAGGTGCAATCGCAACAGTTACTGAGCTGTTGCGCCTTCTGAATTTCACAGTTTACACATAAAATGTTTAAAATTTTCTCTAAAAAATGTTTGTTCAAATTTAGGCATATAAAGAGTGGTAACCAGTTTCCACTACTAATGTGTGCAAAATTAAGCATTGTCTGTTTACTTTTACATACCAAATTTGTCCCGTAGCGAAAAATTACACAGAAAGTGTTTAAAATTTAATAAATATTAGCGTTTAATATTTCTTATTTGTAAAAAATATAAAATCTTTGTACTTTTAAACATTTTACTTGTATATTTATGTGTATATTTTAAACAACTCATGTTCAAATTCAAATTTTGAATATCTAGTGCGTATTTTTGCACAGATTCTGGTTGAAAAATAAACATTTTTCAGTAGTACTTAGTTTTATATGCACTTTTTAGAATGTATGTATGTTGTTAGGTGTGTATACAAGTGCTTAAAGTGAAAAGTAGCGTTTTTCAAAAATAACGAATTACCTATTTTATTCCTAGCCATTTATTCATTTATTATTCAGTTATATCACAGACAATGCGATAAGTCCCAAAGAATATCTACAAAAACTTTGTGAAATTCGATTCGTTTAGAATTGGTTTAGCTTAGATTTCGCGACATTTTTTTTTACAATTTTTACAAAACAAGTGCTTGAGGAAAATGAGTTTTAAAGGTTTTTACTCTCGCCCGTCAAATGTGAGAAACTGAACTTGGCAACTTTTTACTCTAAGCTAGTTATATGTATGTATGTACATAATACATATATACTACATACTTATATACATATGAATGTATGAACGCATAAAAAAGGCCATAGTGCATGCATACCTACTTATATACGTGTCCATAATGCTCAACACAATTCCACACACGTCCCTTCATTATATACAATATTATTTTCTTTCATGCCTAGGGTGCGCGATTATTCGACATTTTTCCAAAACCAGGTTTCGAGTTATTCGAAAAAATTTAATTAAAAAAAAATAATAATTTAATTCAGAAAAATCGGGTTAGACGGGATATATGTTTTGATACTCCGCGTTTGAATAATGCTTACAGTTAGTTAGAAATGATATCCAAAAATGGAGCTAAGCTAATAAAAGTAGGTGTGGCTTTCATTTAAAATATAGTTAAATGGAATAAGTTGAAAGTTATTTGGATTAATAATAAAAAAATAGTGAAATTTTTGGGATCAACTGGTTTTTTCCTTAGCCTTCTGGAATCAGATGTAGAAGAATAAATATAAATAAATTAGTTTAGCTAAAGTGCCTCAGAAAATGTGTTTTTATGAAAAATTACTTTAAGCTGTATGCATTTTGAGTAGCTTTTTAAAATTTTGTTTGAAGAACGCTCAATCAAAAGCATTAATAGCCAGTTTCCCGAAATCAATTTAAGTGAAAAATAATTTTTTATTATAATTTAATATGAAAACTGACAGAAAAAACTGGCAAAGAAAACAATGAAATAAAAAATTTAATGAATTTAGAGAAAAACTTCCCAAAATTTCAGTTTATTCGATATTCGAAAAAAAAACTCGGTAAACCCGATCCGGAAAAATTAAGTCAATCACCCTAATACAAACGTTCGGCATATCTATAGTCTTGCACTTTGTGTACATAAAGGACAAATTGTTTACAATTTATTCCCTTATTAAAATGTAACCATAGTAATAAATGACGCGCGCCAACATCTTTAATGTGCATTGTGTTTTATTGTCGCACCCAACATATTGTATTTATGTACATACATATATGAATGTGTCATTAAGCTACTAACGGAATAAAATGATCCTTGGGAGGAAAAACACAAGCGATATAAATTGTAAAAGTAAAAACAAAATCTTATTCCACCTTAAGTCAACTTAATTATTCAACAGAAAATATGTGTAGCAAGGCTTTTAAGTTGTAGTTTAAAGCGAAAATTCACAAAATTCGAAAACAAAGCCGAGATAGGGTGATCCAGCCGTCGATATGTGCATATGTATGTATATTGGATCACTTAAAAAGCCTCAACAGGTATTTTTTGGCATTGCAAACCATTTAATAGGGCAAACAAACATTCAGAAACACTCAACGCCATCTTTTCAAAAATCCAAAACTGGAGGAAAGTTTATTAGTTGATAACTGTATCAGAACAAGGGACTTATTCTATTTTGTTTCCTTTAATCCCAAGCATGACATAGGGCATCTACTACGCTTGCGTACCACCTGGTTCTGTTTCTGGCAATCGTTTTGAACTTCTTCAGGCTTAACCCAAATTGCTTCGAATTTCGATCGACGCTTTTTCTCCACGTTTCGCAACGAAAGGTGCTCGCGTTGGAAAGAGTTAATCGTCTTAGGTATTTGGGGGTCAAATGGACCTCACATATGTGATGTTATGTGAAAGTAGAATTTCCCGTTCTGGGTTATCCAATCAACGACTTTTGCTTCAGCAGCATAGAGGAAAAGGTGGAAAGCATTGAACATTATCTGTGTCACTGTCCCGCACTAGCGCACATCGCGCAACCACTTCTTAAGTAGGTAGTTTTTAGATTGGTTAGCCGACCTGAACTCGACGAGCATTCTCAACTTTCTGTGCTATACAAAACGCACTCAGTGGTTCAACTACTAAAGGAGCGAAGGAAGCAATGGCTTCCGCCAGTGGTATCCAAATGCGCTTTTCAGCTTACGTGTGCATCACTGCTCTGCGCGGTGGTAGCCACTCTAATCTAACCATACTATCAGAGCGACTTTAGTGCAAAAAAAAATAAAATTTAAAAGAAAAATTATAGCAAAATCTTCAACAATAGCAGAGCAGAGTAAATACTTCGCAGTACTACTTTCAAATCTTTTAAAGCATTTTCTGTAATCTCCTTCACAACTGTGAACTGTTTTCTAAGCGTATCTGCGCAAAGCTAAAGTTTACAGTCATTTAACTACGGCAATGAACATCACTGTGACAAAGCGAAATTTCTTTTGAGACAAGAAAAGTAAAAAAAATAATAAACTTAAAACGCATTAGTTTTAGTGCAGCTTTACCATTTTATTATTCTTTTCTCTTTGTTTTTTCGTGCAAGGTAGACAAACTTTCGACTTTCAAGTTGCATTTCCCATGCTGAGGCGATGTGTTTCTATTTCTGAAGCCAACGATATAGCAATGGCGACAGTGCATTTACTTCAAGGTTCACGCATTTTTTTTTGTTTTAATAAAATCTAACGCTATTTTCGCGCAATTTTTCAAATTTAACTGGTTGATGGCACAGCATCAAAAAACACGAAAACCTTGAGCAGCTATCAAATTGCTCAAAACTTGAAATTTTTGAACTTAAATTCTGTTGAATTCATAATTACATATTGGCAACGTTTGGAAACTCTTTTACTTTCTAACAACTATGTATGTATGCGTGTATGTAAGTAAGCGAGCACCAACAAGCTTTCTTGCATAAGTGAAATATCTAGGAATGAGCTGTGTATTTTATTCAATGTTTTTCGTTTTTAACGGTATGTAACTACTATACTACTACTATGTAGTACTACATATATGTATGTCGATTTTTCGACTATTTATTTTTAAAATTTTTTATCTCCATCTCTCCCTTATTGCCGAACTGGGTCAAGTGCATTCCCTTTTCTTCAGCAATCGCAGTCGAATTGAAGTCTTCTTTCGCTCTTAAGTTCACAAACTGTTTACGCTATTGAAATGCTAAATAAACGCATTTAGAATATATTTTATGCACATATTTACAAGTGCTTAAATGTAAATATATGCTATATACTATGTATGTATGTGTACGACAAGGCCAATGCTTAAAATGTTGCGAAAGCGCAGTTACAAAAGTAAAAAAAAAGTGCTCAATGTATACGCATGGAAATTAATGATGTGTGTGGATTACTTTGACTGACTTAAATATTTTTAATGATTCAAAAAGTTGTTGGCTTACTCGAAAAATGCATTCAACTTACATATTTACACACACAAATATTCGTTTGCTTACAACTGCTGTACGTAGTACAACTTCAAGGAAGAACTTCGCACTAACATTGTATCCGGCTTTAAGTGAAATCAATATTCTACTCAAAACGAGGATAACTATTATAAAGTGTATAAATGAGTTCTAAGCGTTCAAACTTACAATGTGCACTAGATCGCAACAAGCAAGGAAAAAAAGTTCGCCGTTTACTCCTAAGGGCCGGTTTCACACTTTTTAATCAGAGTCACATAGTTAACTATGGAAATTCATATCGCTTGGAAATATACTAATTCTAAAAATCAGCACTTCTCTATAAAAATCTGAAAATCGTTCCACAAAAAAAAATTTATTTCACCAGAATTTAACTATGGGGGCATGCTGGTCTAAACATTTGTTAGCTGAGCATTGTGAAAATCAAAATTGTTAGTTAAACTCTTTTCAGTGGTTAATAATGTTTTTTTTTTTTATAGCTCTGCTGGAATACCCAATATCACCTTAGCGAAAGTTTAATGATTTTTGAAGAGCTTTAATTAACTGGCATTAGGGTGGTACGTTAGGGTGATAAGAACTGAGATCTGGTGGGTGAACAAAGCGGCGTACCTGAGATCAATGAGCTTTGGAATTAGAAAATTTTATCGATTAATCATTATTTAATATCCGACTATAAATCCCGAAATATTACGAAAAATGTAAAAAGACGACTTCTACGTTCGGCTAAAAAAATTTGTTTCGAAAATCGAAAGCGATTTTAGCCGAGTCCAAAACAGCACGCCAGTCGTTTCTTTCCTATGCCAATAGAGGCCAATTGGAAATGTCAAGTAAAGCCAAGTCCTTCTGCAGCTGGTTTTTCCAACCCAGAGAAGCATCGCGACCCGCGTTGAATACTTTCAGAGCAGGAGCGTTGCTGACCATTTGAAATCGCCTTGCTAAAATAATTTATGTTGACTCAATGGTGTACGGCGAACTTTTTTACTGGTATTGTGCACAGATAGACTAAACAATAAGAGTTTTGCTTTACTTGATTTTTAACCTGATTTACCTAAATAAAATATTTATTTTCCTAATTTATATCTGCTACCTAATTTAATTTGCACATATATAAATTTTCTCTTTTTTTATTTTCTTGCAGGGCCTCTGTGTCGCCACATTCTTTTGCTTCTTCAATGGTGAAGTTATTGCCCAAGTGAAGCGCAAATGGCGTATGGTTTGCTTTAGTAATAGGGCTCGTGCAAATTCCTACACAGCCACTCAGGTCTCGGTAAGATTTTGTTGGCTTTGTATGTCTTTTCGCCTACTCTTATTGTAATCGGTGTAACAATAATGCATACATACTACATACATATATATCGTGTTGTGTACAAATCATTTGTAAATAAGCCTTTGTACTTGTTTTTGTAACTGTCTGCTAAAAATGTTTCATTATTTTATGTTTATTATAACTCAATATTGATGTGTTTGTGAGGTGTGTTTCTTTTTTGTTTCGAAAATAAAAAATCCATATATTTATTCATACTAGCATTTATTAATTTTATATTTTGTATTTAAAAAGATTTGGGGTATTCACAACGGTGCCGTAATATGTCGTAAGCTCTAAAGGCTTAAATAAATGTTTAGAGGACTTTAAACAACAACAAACTATTTTTTAACACTGCGAAAATTCGTAATGTGTTTTTATGGTACCTTGCGAACCCGCCTGATACAAATTTACCCGTTTATGGTTTACGAACTTCAACAATACGACACTTACGATATCGTTCTGAATACCCCAATTGAAAAATTCATTTTGCCTTAACCTTTCCTTGGCAAAAAAAGTAACCCACCTTTTTAAACACAAAGGATACCCTACTCCCATCTGAAAATAACAAATCTGATTTCTCTGAAAAATATTTTTGTTTTTCTGAACCGCCCTAATGCATACCCTTAGATTTATGCATGTCGCATGATAACAAATAAAAGTAAGTACAACATAACACGTCGTATTAATTGCGCCAGCGAAGGAGTTACGTAATCCTCAACTTGTAAGAGAATCAATTACGACATGAGTCGTAGTTTTTGATTTAATAAAGACTGGATTCACGCACCCTAATCTAAACATAGACAAACATAGACATTTCTTAATTTAATAGGCTCTTAAAACGTTTTAATACATTGTTATGAGTAAACTAACTCTTTAGAAAAAAGTGTTTGCCTTGGTTCTGTAAGAAATTAGGTATCAAGCCTCATATAGTGCACTCGTTGTAGATAGCAGTTGTCCGGCCTAAGTTATTCTATAGCGCCACAGTTTGGTGGACATCACTGGGTAAGCCGCGCACTCACCAAAGTTTAAAGTACATACGTACATCATGCGTATGTATTCCATTCACGAGAGCGCTACCCATCTCGCCTACAAAAGCCCTACACAAACCTTTGCTAATTTACGTTCCGTATGCCCTTTTCGTTATCTCAGGCGGCAGGAATGTTGGAAGACTACATGCCTTATAAATATTTGAGAAGCGCTGGATCCGGTCATACCAGTGTTCTATCAAACTACCTCTACCTGCTTAGGTCACCAAACTACACCACCTCAAAACCGACCTTCAAAAATAAAATGTTTAAATATTTTCCGTTTTTGACCAAAAAACAAAACAGCGTATGCTGAACTTTGAAATGCATCATTTTTGATTTTTTTTAACTATGGAAATGGATTCCTTGACACAAAATATGTATTTAACACTTTAAAAAAAAACTTAAAACCTTCTATATTTGAAGGTCGCTTAAAAAGTTAAGGTAATGATTATATTCAATTGGATGTTCATCTCTGTCAAATCGGAGACTGCTCCCCTTTTATATCACTAAACACCCAGTTCAGATCCCGTACGGTTCGTTTTATATGCGCAGTTAGAATCGTACCCTCTTCGTCACTTAGAATTTCTACAAATCTATCGAAAAAAGTTGACCTCAGCTATGCAAGCATACATTTCATGCCTAGCTTATTGCAAATGAAACCACGTCGATAATGGTGCTGCGGGAACTTCAATAAATCCAGTGCGCCATATAATTTATACGTATGTACATTAGGGTGACCCAAAAAATGCTGGAGGAAAAAGTAAAGTCGGAATTTGTATGCTCTCATCCACTATGATTCTTCTATGCCGAAACAATATATCCCTATTTTTATTTTGAAATCAAAAAGTATTTAGAGGTCGCTGAAAGCGCTCGAAATTTTCTATGTATTTCCAGTGCTGTTTGCAGCTCTCAAGAAAAAAACGCTCGCATATACATTTCTTCAAGAAAATTTATAGCAAAAGCGACGTGTCTTTTTTTCCAGCAACAGAAATAACGAAAAATATTTCTTGTGATTTTTCTTGAGAGCTGGATTCTAAGCTTTATATGGGGATAAAACAACTTTTCGTAGAAATGGTATAGAATTCTTGGAAATCAATAATTTTCGATTAGAAAACTCTGTTTCTCTTCAGAAAATTCCCAGTATTAATACGCAATGGATTGTTTAACGATTTCTTCACAGTAACTTTAATTTATAGCACACCAGAAACTCCAGAAAACACAATGGCGTGATAAAAAAACCGTTAGTATTAAAATTTTTTTAAATAAACACGGAAACCTTGATAGCTCTGAACGACCTCTAAGTATTTTTTTTTATTCACAATAAAAAATAAGTGGTATAAAACTATCCTCGGCGGTGAGAACATTAAAATTACAATTTTACTTTATTTTGGACCACCATAATGTACATACATACGTAGCCATATGTATTTTGCATGCTCAGGTAATTGTGTACTTTTGGTAATTAATTGCATGGGAAATTTTTAATCATTATCTCTTCGTTTAGTTCTATTTTCATGTTGCCTACAATCCTTGTATTCTCCAATCTTAACTGCCAATCAGTCAATTAACAATTGAACTAGAATATAAAGTACATACAAATTCACCATGGCTATCCACTTTCCAATGTGCTTCGTTTCTTTTCTTTTCTTTCCACATATCTTTTGTACATATACATATGTATGTACTCGCACATCGTAATGTAACCAACAACCAAACCAAACCAAACCAAACCAAACCAAACGAAATCCACCAATTAAACAATTAAATATACAATATAAATGTAAAATGCAACCACAATCCCTAAACCAACACGCAATTATTTCAAACCACAGTTCTTCTGATTATAGTTCGTGCGATGCGGCCCGCCCCTGCCCGGCGAAGAGAAGGTATGACTAAAGGACATGTCATCGATGAAAGCGCGGCGCGCCTCCAGCGCTGTCACTGGCCGCAGCAGTGACTCATATTCCGGCGCCGGCGCCAGCAGTCGATCCGCCACTCGTTTGCGCAGCAACAGCACCGCACACGGCAGCCAAAAAACGCAAGCCATGGCGTCAGCGCCCAGCGGAGTCATAAGTGGACTGCGTAAGCTGCAATTGCTGCGGCGAAAGACCATCGATCAGCTGCGCGTACGACAGCCGCTAATGGAAGAGGGAACTGTCACAGAAAGTATTAGTGGTCGTGGTGGTGGTGGCGATGGCGGTTTTGGCAGTGGCGCAGTAAATGAATTCGACAGCAGTGCGAGTAACTGTAATAGTCATGGAAAATATGCAACTGGAAAAGTAGTTTCTGCGGCGACGACAACGGCGGCAGCAGCTGCAATAACAACAATCACACTTGCAGCAGCCACAGCAACTGCAGCTGCAGCGTCAGCGACAACAACAAGAACAACAACGAGTAATTACCATAACAGCAGCAATAATAGAAACAGCAGCAGTGGCAGCTATAGCCTCGATGGTAGCAGCGCTGATGGCAGCAATCGCGTGGCTGGTGGCACTTTGCTCGTTACCACTACAGCTGTGCACAACAACAATCTGCATTTGGATGGCAACAAAATGGCGGAGGAGGCATTGTAAGCGAAAGTCAGCAAAATAATTTTTGTGGCACGAAAAATGCGGAAAAGCAAAAGAGTGCGAGGTGTCAGGTGGTTGAAGGTGGCTGGAGTAATCATATGATGTGGTAAATTTAATGGAAGTAAGTAATTGTAGCGCACGCGTGATTTATTGCTGCATGTGAGATATTTTTGCTATAGCCAGTTTATAACGCATTTCTACACATCCCCTTAGCATTAAGATAAGGTAATAAAAAACGTTGATTAATGATGTGTGATGAGTATCTGATATAAATACATAATTTGCAATTGGAATAATTTGTCTGTCAGTGTGGTAATCATGATGCGCAACGATGTGAAATTTTAGTTTAGGATCTATGCAGGAAAAAAATATCGTGCAATATCTTGAGTTTTAAAAAACATTTCCTGATTGAATATTTATAAAAATTTTTTTTAAGTTTTCCAGTTATAAGATGACACAATCAGCTTTTGTGAGTTTATATTTAGCGTTATTTCACCTCGCTTAAATCTGGAAATTTGTATTAGAAATATTATTTAGGTTTTTTATATTTTGAATGTAAAAATAATACTTTCTGGCACAAAACTTAATGGAGAAAACAGTTTTCTCGATATTAAGTTATATGTATAACGAGTCTAAAATTTTAAAATTTCGAAAACAAATGTAGCCTTACTTGTTCCATCTATGTATCTATGAAAACTCGGCTACTTAAAGAATCTTTCTTCTATGTAGTGTAAGAATTAGCCAGTTTAGGAACTTTTGCATTTATTGAATGTAATTTTCTTAACATCGCTAGAAAAAAAAAACCTGCAGCTGAAGATCTCACAGCCAGATTTACTAAAAAAAAGTATTTTTTTTTCCGCGTAAACAATGCCCTTGTGTAATTTTTAATGGATCAATATTAACTGATGAATAAGATATCAGCCACTGAGCTTCCCCGTGTACATTAAAAAATTTTGTTGCCTTTAAAATCAATACCTTTCGGAAAGAGTTGTGTATGCATTGGTGTTCGAAATAATACAAATAGTTTTTTCAGTTTTAGTGCTGAGAGAATTCAAGCAACAATCGTAAAACTTTCCTGCAGAAGAGTCTCGATTTCACCGCTCTGAGGAATGCTCTTCCAATTAGCTTACCAAATCTAACTCAAAGTGTTCAAACTGCACAAAATATTAGATTGGGGATTGTACAGTATACATAAAAACGCTTGAATCTAAACAGTTTATCTGAATTCAAACCGCACTAAGAAACATAAACGTATGTACATTTGGATGCATCACTCTCCATTCAAATCTACTTTATTTTAAGATTTTCGGCAAAATATTTCGGAAAGATATTAATATTAGGGTGAGCTAGACCTATTTGAAATTACCTCCGAAAATGGAGTTTTTATTAATTAGTTTTTAAAAATATTTTTCCTAAACAATCACCTTAGATGACAGAAGAGTTTAAGCTTAAATTAAAGATTTAGATAAAAAAATTTAAAACAGTTTTTACGGAATCAAAATTGGTAATGAGCATCTTTTAGGTATATAAATCTTAATATTTTCCAGAAATATTTTGACAGAAGTGTTAAAATATAAAAATATTTATAATTCCGGTGGAAAAACTATAATTTTGTGAGGTGATGCCCCCTAATGTACATATATATATACATATATGTATGTCTATGTTGAATACAAAAAGAATTTTCAAATTTATTTTTGGAAAAATATTCAGTACTAATCGAGGCCTTGGCATTTCGTTTGTACTAACCTCACTACGAAAGAAATTAAGATTTTCGTATCGTCACAATTTAATTTCACAAAAATTTCGCATTCTTTATATCAACTTTAGAAGCGTGTATGTATTTATTTTTTTTTTTTTTAATTCACAAATAACAACTTATGTCTATCACTATCACCTCATGTGGATTCGGGTTGTGAAGTATATATAAAAGTTTGTTAGCATTGTTTCATACCTGTTATGCTCATCCAATAAGTAAAGTAGGAGTCGCCTTTTATCACTTATCTACAGACGGGTATTAAGATATGATATAAGTATACATATATCAATGTTCTTGGCCCGATGAGAGAACTATTTTTTTCCAAAGTTTTTCGACCTCAAACACTTGGTTCTAGTACTTCCCCACCATATCACTGTTCATACCACACTAATGTAAATAAATTAAAGCTCTCCAAAAATGATTAAATTTTTGCTAAGAAAGTATTTTGATTATTGCAGTAGGACTATTTAAAAGAAATATTGTCTTGTTAAAATATTTTTAGATTTTTTATTTACTTGTAAGATGGTACGATCAAATGTACACACAATATAAATTCTTCTAAATTTTTTTTATGATTGAAATTATTTTTAAGAAAACCCATTTATTTTTAAGAAAAGTTTATCTGTACAACGAGTCCTAAAATATTGTAGATGCATACACACTTGTATGCTTCTTACTGCATGTCTATGTAAGTACATCAATTTCGTTAGCTATTAAGTCCACAAAGTAAAAATCTAGTTCTGTGTTTTTTACTTAAATTATTATCAATTTGTTAAAGATATTAAGACATTTAGAAAACCATAGGATGCCATCTTTCAACCACCC